GGCTATGCGAGACATGCCCGGCATCGCAGAGCTGTCCAGCTCGCTTCCCCTGCCCTGGCGTGGGCTCCCCACGTGCCTAGACGTTGTCCTGCCCTGGCTCACTGCTGCTTTCATTTTGGCCCTCGCTTCCGTCCCTTTGACTCGCAGCCCTTGGCCAGAGCGCAGCCACTTGGCTGAAGGCTGCACAATTCGAGCCACCCTTGTGCAGGAGAGTGGCACTTCGTGACTTTGGGGCTTGTAAAAGCACCAAGAGCCCTTGGACTTCCAGGTCTGACATTACAGACTCTGCATGTCTGCAGCTTCCCTGTTCTGCCATTAGTTAATGATGGTGGAAGAGCCTACACTAGGTGCTGATTAGTGCTCTGTGATTACTTTGGGGTTAAAAAAAGACTCATGTCTAATTCCTTTCTATTTTTTTTTCTTTTCCTAGGGATATTCCAGGACTAGTGGGAAAAGGTACGTGCACTTTGTAGCCCTTTGAGCCCTTCTTGATCAGTGTTGCATGACTGAGATGGGGGTAAGCTTTGTTACGTGACACGCTTGTGCCCAGCAGGAGTGGCTCTCTAGTCTCCAGCACTGCAGCGTTCAGGAAACTTTGACAGTGAGCTTTAAACTACCCTGTGACCCCCAGTGCGAACCTTTGCTGGATCGGTCTGTGCTACGTGGCTCTTCCACAGGACATGGATTGACTGCTCTTTCTGCAACAGCGGAGCACGCAGCTCATAGCCTCAGTCTCCCCGTAGTAGCGCTTGGGAGCCCAATTCTTGCTTGTGGACCCGGCTGTAGATTCATTCAGCTCCTTTGCTGCGTTAGCCCTCCCGGACATCCCTTCTCCTCCTGTCTCTGCACACCCACGTCCCGGTTGTGGAGCTCCTTAACTCTCTTGCATCTCCTTATCAAGCGCGTTTTGTGGTTACGCCTCTTCCACAGCTGCACCGCAGAAGAGCTCAGCACCACAAAATCTGTGTCTGCCACGGGCTGGCTGAGTTCCCGGGGAGATCTGTGGAGCTCCTCAGGGTCCATCCTGGCTATGAAAAGGTCTGAGGATCTTTGTCCTAGATGTCTTGGGGCGGCACAAAGTCTGCACATGTGCCAGAATGAGCCTTGCCTCCTGGTTTCACCAAACACACACAGAAGGATGGTTTTAGCAGAACCCATGCCCCTCTCCTTCATTTCTAGAGGAAGCAAGCTGTCAGACAGCCTTCGTGGTGGCACGGACAGGACCCTAATGGCTTTGGGGATGTTGGTTCCTGTCATCGTGTCATTCAGAAAGCTGCTGTTGAGCTGCTTGGGTGCAAGGGGGTTCTGCGGACACGGAGCAATCGCTTCACCTTGAGGCACTCGCTTCCCGTGTCAGCCTTTGCTTGTCAGCTTTATAAAAAGGGGTCCCTGTGGTATTCCCTGTCATTAAAAAGAACTTCACTTCGCTCTCAGTGTTGTTGTCAGGCAGTAAAACGAACCCCTACTTTGGTAGGGGATTCTGTAAAGCCCCGATAAAAATGACCTCCCAACTTTGCAGGGTCTGTAGTGAAAACTCTCTAAATTTCACTCTCGTGGAGGGTTGGGAAAAGTGCAAATAGCAGGACCGGTCGCGTTCCTGTAGTAGACCAGATGAGCTGTTCAGAGACACTGAAACTCGTACGAGAGGTACAGAAGCAGAAGTGGCAAATTACTGCTAAGGGAAAACTCTGGAGGGCAGTCGCTTCTCATTAGTGAGTGTTTCGAGTGCGTGTGGATGGGTGGTTGTATGCTGGCCGTCTGTAAGCGCTAATGAGTTTTGCATGAGATAAGACAAGGCCTTGTGGACCTTTTCAGTTGCACGTCTCCTTTTTGATCATTTATTCATTGGGAAATGTCAGGTGTATAAGAACTTCCAGTGAGGTATCCTGAAATGCCCCTGATCTCTTTGAGCGAGAAGGCAGGGTGGATATGCACCTTGATAGACTAATTGAATAAGGTTATATATAGAGCGAGAGAGCACAAGCTTTTGTGAACCCAAATTCACTTTATCAGATGCTGGGGAAGGACGTGCAGAAAGCAGAGTATCAGAAGGAGAGGGAAAGCTGTGTCAAGGGCACGCCGTCTGCTACAAGTTGAATGCTTTGTTCCAGTATTGGAGGCAGCAGGTAAAGAAACCGTAGAAATGAGCAGCTTAGCCAATAAAATACTGGAAAGTTGAGGCTTTATTTCCCAACTGGCAGGACAGAGGTCACGAGAGACCTGATTTAAGAAACCTCAAACGAGTTTGAAGTTCCCATCCAATTTGCGTTCAAACTTGAGATGGAGCAGCCTGCAGCCAGCTGCCCCCAGAGCTCTGAAGTCCGTTCACACAGGGACAGATGCATCACAGATCTGCATCACTTCTGTTTGCAGAGCACACGCTGCACAGGTGCAGCCTGGCCCCCTCCTAGCTTGCACCAGTGCAAAGTCTCTCTCTCTCTCTCTCTCTCTCTCTCTCTCGCTCTCTCTCTCTCTCTCTCTCTCTCTCTCTCTCTCTCTCTCTCTCTCTCTCTCTCGCAGCCGTGGGCGTTATTGTGATGCAAAACAGATGCCTCACTAACTGGATCAAGGTAACAGTGCTATAAATGCCAGCCACAGCCCCGGGATCAGGCTGTTGCACTAGCTGTTATTTAAACCGGAAGTCATTTGCAAGCAAGATAAAGCAGGTTGAATTTTTCTCTTTACCAAGGTAAAGATGTTGGCTCGAGCCAGTCACTTGCAGGCAAAGCAGGATCTAAATGCGGTGCGTCTTATAATATCTTTTTAGCAGAGCAGTTATAAATGCTTTGGAATGCATCTTCAATCTGCATCAATCTGTTCTTATGTAAACTTTCTTTCGAGTTAAGGGAATGAGGCATCATTATCTCTGGCAGATGTAGCAGTGGGCAGGCAGAGTCTGAGGGTTTGTATATGCTTGAGAATTGGTTGCTGATTAAGCTCGAGTGTGAAATGAGATGCAGTTGCTATTCTTGGATGACTTCATGTGCGGCTGCTCCTCTTCCACAGTAAGCTTGCCGTGTTCCCATTCAGCGTAACCCACTTCTTAAAACCTGGGTTAAACTGAGTGGGAACATGACAGTCTTATTCTGCAACAAGTACCCACTCATAGGCTCTTCAGGAGCATGGCCAGGTGCAGACAGTCCCTTCGTGACCTCATCTGCAGAAGATCCACCCTCTCGGCCCGGAAAGACTCATCTTACCAAGGCTGAGGACAGTCTCTTCCCTCTGGGTGTTCGGCACGGAGTCTGGCTCTAGGAGAAGCTGTTCTGTGCTCCTGCGAGCTTCTCACTGCCCGTGAGTGTAGTGCACCGACACGAACAATTTCTTACCAAGCTGAGATACCTGCAGGTACCTGACACTGCCATCTGCTTAAAAAATACTCTATTCTGCACAGCTACACGTGCGCTTTAATGCGCATTAGCCTATTTTTAATGCATCGCTAAAAATGTGCTATTTAGTTAATACACATTAAAATAGGCTAACACACATTGAATGTCACTAAAAAAACTGCTTTTAAGTTAATGCTTATTAAGACAGGCTAAGACACATTTTCCTAGCGTCTCACAACGGAAGTACAATATTTAATGTGCATTAACTAAAACGCACCAGTGCATGTGTAGACGTGCCAGGGGTTCTCAACCTTTTTGGACTTGAGGCCCTTCTTACTGGACTTGAGGCCCCCGCCGTGATTTCTGTGAATTGAAATAAAACTAATTTATATATTCCAGCTCTTACTTCCTTGTGGAGGGGCTAGGCAGTGGAGGTGGGGGATCATTCAGGCAGGGACAGGCCTGCGACCGCATTTATCCGCTTGGCTTATCATCTCACACCTCACTTATCCATTTACCTTATCATCTGCTTATTTCCTCACCCTTGAGGCACCTGCCAGAGAATCTGGTCCCCTGCACCCTGGTTGCGATCACGGCTATAAGCACAAGAGATGCATGTGTCCCAGGGAAGATAGGGCCAGGATGAATGCAAATCTGTTTTTAAAACAATCGGTTGGGCTTTTGGCAGAGCAGTGTTGCTGGCATGCCCCCTTTTTCCCCTTGCAGAGTTTCTGTGCAAAAAAGCTTTTGCCTTATTTACCTGTGGCTCCGGGTTAGCAGGTGCAAAGGCAGTTTTCTTCGCTTGGCGAAGTTCAGTGAAACTCGAGGAACTGAGTGAGAGCAGAAAAAGTGGGAAAGCCCATGCTCCTGTTGCAGTCTAGTTATAAAACGGGGGGGAAGAAGGGGTGTGGAAGACGGCATCAATTAATTCTTAAAAGCTTGAACAACACAGGGACAAGGTGGGTAGACCAAGTGCAGGTGCTTCCTCAGCCTGACGAAGGGTATTTGCACCCGAAAGCTTGCAAAGAAGAATTGTTCCAACTAGTTGAGTTGGTCTATTAAAAGAGATCAGGCTTACCCAAAGAGCCTTGTCTGCCAAGGTGTGCGAGCATTTCTGTGCATTAGAGGTGCTTAGATAGAGGAGTGCTGGGATTCCCAGAAGCGTGGCAGCTGCTTTGGTAAGATATACAATGCGACTGTTCATCTCATTTTTTTTTGTGGTGCAGACTACTAAATATGGCATCTCTTTCAGCAGAAATTGTCTGGTGCTTTCTAAACAGACCCAGGAGACGGCTGAAACGGCTTTTATGCTCGGTTGTGTAGGAGGGCAGCTCCGCATCTAAATGCAAGCCCTACAAAATAATCAGGAGGCCAAAGGGCAGCTATTACCTGATGGCCATCGCTCACATGTCTCAGTGTATAACCCTTTGTTCAGGGCCCAAGTTCCTTTTTTTAGTCTGCCTGTCTTGTTGCCAGCCTCTTTCAAAGCCGTTCGCACTGCCCAGTCCTTAGCTAACTCTTGGGCTCGTGCCAGGCCAACGTGACTTGATTTCCTGTAAAAGAGACAAAAGAAAGTGACCTCCTGCTTCCTTTCCCCGTCGCACAGAGATTCCACAGCCCGATGTGGGAGTTGCTCCTTGGTTGCAAATCCTCACATGATGTTGCAGTCATCGGTGTTAGCAGAAAGACCCGGGGTTGTGTGAAAACAGCTGCACAGACACTGCAGTCACATGGAGCCTGGCCTTTTCTGTGTGCACCCTCGTTTTGATGGGTGAAGCAAGTGCAAAAGAGTCATCGAACCGGTCAGGCCGTATTTTCGTCTTGTTTAGGGAACAAGCGTCTTCATTTTTTTCCTTGCGTGCAGCTGACTTAATTGAGGGGGCTGGCCTTGACGGCCAGGCTATTTTGAGCTCCTTGTGGGCACCTCCATTTTTTTCTTTTTTGGCTCCTCGCGGAGGTCTCCGTAACGAAAACAAGACTTGCATGCAAAGAGAAGGGCAAGCGAGCACTAAGGAGTCACCAGACTGCTTGCCTGCCCCTGTGCTCTGTGGACACATGAGAAAAGCATCAGTCCTTATTGGCATGTGATGCGACCGCTACAAAAGGTCACGGACATTTATAGTGGAATTACCCGGAGTTGGCTCTCCACGGCCTGTTTTCAAAGCGTGAACGAGAAATCTCTCTGCTAATCATTGATTCGAGCCAAATGCTCCAGCATGGGAGTGGGTTTTATTCCACTGGCCTGGCTTAACCATTAGATTCAGGCTTTTTCTGCTGTTGAAGCTGTTTCAGCAAGTGCTAGGTTAGCGCCTTGCATTGGCAGTGCCGAGCCCTGGCTTCCGGTCTCCACCCTGCCACGGACACGCTGGGTCCCCTCGCGCCCTTCTGCCTTTTCAGTGGCAGATCACGGGAGCAGGGACTGATGAGGGCGGTATCGGCCCTCATCTCGGCGTGGTGTCGGGACGGACGTTTTGAATTCTTGGAGAGCAGCACACGTGGGGGCACTGAGGCTGTAAATCTGCAGATGCTGCCAGAGAAATGATTTGCATGCAAGTTTAGAAGTCACCTGGGCGTTGGCTGCAGTAGAGAACGGCACCGGCCTTGTGTGCAAGTGGTTTTACTAGACGGATTTTGCTTTTATCCCTGTAAAATCCTCGGGTGCCCATACACATGCCATGCCGCGAGGCTGCTGCAACGCGCTGTGATTACTGCACGATTAATGGAGTCTGCTGCAGCATGGTCATTCCCGTGCTCCAGCTGACTCCGGCGTCATGTGCATCAGCGTCCCTGCCCGGAAAAATGGTGGGGGGGGCACTTTAACTAAAGCTCGTTTGATGAGCATTAGTTAAAGTGCCCCCGCTGACATTGTTCAGCACAAGGATGCTGATACATGTGACGCTTCAGGCGCTTTAATTGGAGCGTAGAGGGGCTCTCGGAGCTGCTCTAATTAAAACACCCTCTACTCCCGGAGCACGTGTATAAGCACCCTGCTGTCTGGGTGCGAAGCTGGCTAGGAAGACATGTGGCTCTTGGTACATGGATTTAATGTGGAGGCAGTTACTGCTGAGCAAGGTTGCCGGTGACATTGCAACGATGGCTTCATGAATGAAAGTAGTTCATTAACATTGTCTTCCCCTGGATGGACTTAGGGCTGGGCAGCGGTGTTTGCACTGTGCAGGCACCTGCCGCTGTCACGGTCCAGTCGGGCCGGCATGGAGAAGTGCCTGTTTGCTCGTCCTGGCTTCCTTTTTTTGGAACCTGGGTCCGTAGCATTTTTAACAGCTCCTGGGAGCAGTTTCCCTGCAGCGTGCTGTGTGCTAGCACCACCACCCTGCCTTCTTCGGAGGCCAGTAGCTCTTGAAATTCCTCGTGGGTGAGGCAGCTGGACTCGTGGGGCTGTTTGCTATTACAGAGGGAAATGCTGGGGGTTTCCAAAGTGCCCACGAGGAGCTTTGGGTCCAGATTTCCCCAGTATAAATAAAGCTCCCATCTGTGTTACGAAGAAAACTCCCTTTTGCCTTTCTAAGACTTTGCTGGCTACACAGAACAGAGAAACGTGGGAGCACAAAATTACCCAGGCACAACGTACTAGCGATGCTAAGGCGGTTTCACAGGCAGGGTGCACCGGCCTTAATGATTTCCAGATTGCGCGCGTTGCCTAATTGCATCTCACATCACCGCCGTCCTTCTTCGTCGCTCTAATTAGCTCTCCGGGCTGCCATATGAAGCCGTGACACTACCAGGGCTTTGGGCTGTCTCGACACAGGGTCACCGAGGGATTCTCCAGGTCGGTCAGC